ATCCTAATCATCGGGAGAGTTTTCTTACTTGTTACTTTAGGTGTGAATTATCACCTTTAAATACCAGTTCTTTAAGATGGTTAAGCAATTGTCATATTGATCGATGTATGGGTGAATGGTTTGCAGGAGTAAATGCATTATAAATTCATTTTAAGTAGCTGAATTGGGAATGTTTTATCAGTCTTCCTGATGAAATATCGCACTCAATCTCATTTGTTTACCATGTTCTGGATTTTTAAGAAGTAAAGATTCATACTTGTGAATGTTATCTGCATGAAGCATTTATCCTTTTGTTATACTGTAATTCTTGTTAGTGCTGATGAATTATGTACTTATTTTGCAAGAGATAAATGACTTCGTCTTCTTTAAACCTTGAGTTGGCATCGGTCAAGTAATTTTTTCTTTTTGATGAGGTGAAACATATTTAGTTTGTGGATTTATATGGGTTTACAATGGCTTTGTTGATCATTGTTTTCGCCTCATGGAGATAATCCGACAACCTCGACCGCGTAAATACTTGCCATAAGCTACATACATGTGGATATATTTACCCATTGCTGAAAAGGAAACTGTAATTTTGGACAGAATCTTCTTTAAAACTTAATGACTATACTACCGACATTGTTATTTAATTGTTGTTTTGGTTCAGGCGCCATTTATAGGAATGGATAGAGTTCCAATGATTCAAAACAGAGGCCACAAGAAAGAAAAGTAAATTACTGAGATCGAGGCTTTAAGAGTGCGTCGGTATTAATCTATATACATCCCTCGGCCTTACGGCCCTTGGGATGTATATGGATTAATACCTCCGTTTTAGGTATTTATCTCTTACAAAATAAGAGCCTTTTCGTACATAATTCATCAGCGCAGCCATGCAAAGGACACAAACAAGAAGTACAGTATAACAAAAGGATAAACCTCTTCATGCAGATGAAAGCATTCACAAGTTTGGATCTTTTACTTCTTAAAATCCAGAACATATTAAACAAATGGATTGAGTGCGATAACAAATCAGGAGTCTGATAAAACGTGAAAAACATTCCCAATTCAGCTACCCAAAATGAGATTTATAATGCATTTACTCCTGCAAACCATTCACCCATACATCGATCCAACTATGACTTAATTGCTTAACCATCTTAAAGAACTGGTATTTAAAGGTGATAGTTCACACGCAAAGTAACAAGTAAGAGAAGCTCTCCCGATGATTAGGATGAGAATTAGAGTTACCTCCCTAAATCAAGAGCAGGTGTTAAATGTTACTCATAGTTACCCCTCAACCCCTGCTCAGGAATGAATAATCAGATGAAACTAACCTTGCCACGCGACCAAAACACACATCACATGGCACAAAATAACAGAAAGGATAGTCGCACATAATTTTTTTTATGGTGCAGGTCTCTTCCTGAGACTGAATTTTCAAGACATCGCGCTGTATCAAAATGTTTTGGACTTCTTAAGTTGCCTGACTTACTTTTAACCAAGAAAACGTTGATGTCAACCAGTTGATTTGTTCAAATTAGGACATGTTTTGTCAGAATGTACTGAATTCACTGGGCGTCACTAAGTCTTTATTAAAATAATTATTACTTTAAAAGGGTTTCGACACTTTACTTTAAAGAAAAACAGATCACGTTTTATATGTTCCTCCTTCTGTGCGTGAATTGCTCTTCGCGAGTGCCGCGCAATTGTACCAGCTCGACTGAGAGGCGCGTAGAATTACGTTTGTTTTACAGGTAAACTAGGAGCTCACGAACTTTCACGCCGTGCAATTTGAAAAATATTACAAAAATCTAATATGGCTTTACTGCCGATTTCTTCCTCGTTTTCTCAACCTAAATTAACCTCAAACGAATATCACGTCAATGACCGGAGTTATAAAATAATATTTGAGAAAGATCTGACCAAACAAGACGAGTTTGAACCCATTGCTCTACCACCTTGTTCATACAAGACTTCACCCTAATAACATCAACAGGGATAGTGGAATAGAAATTCCAGAAGCATGGATGCCCACGATCAAAAAACACAACAACAGGAGAGCCGTGCGACAGCGGACCGCCGAGGGAGCAAATCACTGAGTGAAACAGCAAGGATCGAAATGCACCAATCAGAGCTGTTGAAAAAAAACAACTTATCACAGCAGAGCATCATGCTTATAAAATCCCGCATGACCAGTTGACCTCATCGCCTGAAGAAGACTAGCAGTATGCAGTCAAAACGTTGCGATCTACATCACACATGACTACATCGTGAGACAAACGAAAAAACTTCGTTTTTATTAACCTTGTTTGAGTTAGTAAACTAATTTTTTTCAAATCTATAACGACTTCATGGCTTAAATGTGAATCTTATGCCTTGTCACTGCACTAAGATGTACCCCATAGCTCGGATGTGCTTGTCTCCATTATCAGGGTTGAATGTTGCTTCATTTCCGCACGAATTATCTCCTCCTGTACCAAACCCGATTCTGGAGTTGCAGGTAGAGCAGTCATTCTGTTGGTTAGCAATGATGCCGATTCTTGCTCTAAAGAAACCACGGTTGTCACTTACAGCATTGAACCCTTCCTTGTTGCAGTTTCGCTGCAAAGAGGCTTGCGAACCAACCACCTTCTTCCACGTGTCACGACCCAGTAAGGTGGCGCGATATTTCCCGTCAGCGATCAATGAATACAAAGATTCGGCTGTCTTGTTGATCAAGATGAACCTAAGTCGTTGTCCGATCTTCATACCGAGGCAGATCTTGGAGAAGGGTGTTTTCCAGTAGGTTGGTAACTTTGTTTCCTGTAAGTCGAATCCATACTTGCCAGCAGCATTTTTATAGGTCTTTCTGTCCTCCCAGAAATGAGAAGAGTAATGGAAGGTGTGCTGAAATTGTTGACAAAGGATTTTATGAATTTAAACATAGCATCAATAATAGCCTGTTTTAGGCTCAGGGTTATCAAATACGCGTGAGGGACTCTTGGTTGCTCGTCTAGTAAAGACGACTTTTGGCGGTTGTTACGGAAACCGCAGCTAATTTTGGCCCCCACCTTTTGTAGCTTGCAATGCTGACCTGTATCCTCAATAAATTTGCAAATGAATTTATACTTTGTTGACGACAAAATACTAATTTTTTAGTTTCAGGGCCAAAAAATAGGCTTGAGCGATGCTCGATGGTTGCTAAGGACACAGCAGCAATTTTTCGCTCATCTATTTTTTCTCTGTATCGTCAATGAATTTTCTTCGCGGAGAAATTGTTACCTTACTGCCATTAATCTTCATGATCGGTGTCCATCCTCCATCTCCGCATCCAAAGTCTCCCATGTGACAGAAAACAGAAATTGGTTTTGAGTCTAAGTGCAGAGTAACCTCGTCACTCTTGTTCGATCTGTTGAATGAAATACTTTATATGGAGTGGAGGTACATTTAAAGCTGATGAAGTCCGAGACTTGGACATATTCAGTACATCATATACATAACTTGTTAAAAGACACAGAGTAGGTTTCAATTATTTTCAAACAAAAAGTTTGCCTAAATGATTATTATCAAGGATCAGGCGCTAAATTGTTGTAATATTAATCTTTTTATCATTTTGATGGCTCATCTTATTCTCTTTCCTCTTTGAACTAGCAGTGATATTATTATCATCTTTTCCATTCTATTTTGGTTATCAGTGAATTATTTACTCACATATTATGATCGAAGATTTCCTTACACGTTGAGGCTAAAACAAAAAATTGGACATGATATTTAGCCTTGTTTGTAGTTTCGTATTTAATTATAATTATAAAGTTTCCTCCAAAATGCACTAAAACTTGCAAACTGGTTAAAAGGGTACAGCTAATTGCATATCAAAACAAAGCACTCTTTCTGAAGCGACAAAAGGCTCAGTGGGTGGTACTCCAAAATGCTATCAGTTGCAAGCCTTTCTAGTGAGTTTTTCTTTTAAAAAAAATAGTCACAACAAACCCCATGAAAACATCACGAGAAAAAACTTACGTTTAGTGCAAATACTTCCATTTCCTAAGTATCCAGTTTTGCATGTACACTTGTAAGATCCCTCAGTGTTGGCGCACTCAGCATTGGCACTACATGTGTGTGTTCCTTTAGCGCACTCGTCAATGTCTGACAAAAGTAATTATATCTATAAATATGCATCGTAAATTTTCGATAGCTGTTAAAATTCTCCAATTAATGCTTCTCATTTGAATGTTGAAGGTAACCTCTCCATTTTTGTGTGTGATTTTTCTACTTTGTGATTTGCCCACATACTCTAGCTAACCCCTAAGCAAAACTGATCAACGCAACTAAAGCTCGGTCACTCGCGTTTTCTCAGCGTGCAAAGGTGTTGGATTTTAGTCGCTTTATTAATGTAATAACGTCGGAGGAACAAAAACTGGCAGCTTCCAAACCCCTTGTGGCTTCTTCACTCGTTTTCATATTTGAAAAGGGTACTAAAAACCACAAGTTACACAGGCTGGTATTTTCCGCCCACGGGATATTTTGATGCCTAATTTACTTTTGCCGCTTTTTCCTTTTTTTTTCTTGAATGTCGCTGTTATGACTAATAAGGCTGTTGCTTTGCCACATTCGATTGAATCAAACCCTAACTTTTGGCGATAATCACATCACAGCTTATTCAGGTAGAGCATGGAAACGGTTCGCTTTTTTGGCAAATGAACTCGTCAGTTTATCGTTTTCTGATAAAGAACGAGTGGGTAGGTCCCAAAAATACTCTACACCCATGCACGTTGAAAGAGTTATTACAGCAGGAATTTAAAAGTGGCCTCTGCTCGATCTCCTCCTGTTTATGAAAAGGAATAAACAAGCACCGAAAACAATATTCTCTTTCAGCAGTGATTATGTTTGGACGTATCTACCATAGATACGTACTCTATAGATATGCATTCTATAGATATGTATTACATAGAAAGTACTGTTTACCTTGACCACAGTTGCTACCCTTGTATCCAGCAGAACACAAACAGCGATAACCTTTGTCAGTAAAACCGCTTTGACAAGTGCCATTATTCTTACAGTGGTTTATAACACAGGCGCTCTGCAGCCAAAGGGATAATGAGTAACAATGATAATGTATTAAGAAAGTAAATGATTGCTCATAGATATTTTAGATGTACTCATCCGCATTGTATCTTCAGCCTTGTGTTTCTCTCGAGGTTGAGACAGAGCCGGTGAAAATGACATTTTCGGCGTTCAGCCCCACCTTCTTATAGTAGAAATTAAAGGGGGAACTGAATGTAAAGTTAAAAAGCAAGTTTGAAGTGATTTATACTGTTTTTTTTCCTTTTTTTTTTTAAATGGATAAATCTGCATTTACTACGTGCCTCAGCTGAATGATGAAAGAAATCTTGGTCCTCCGTCAGATCCTCATTGTGTCCTTCACGAGTAACACTATTCAACTCACATTTATAATTCCCATTTTCATCTGCCCGTTTATCAAGATTAATGCTGACGCAGTCGGGTTCCATGTAGCAGACGTTCTCACAAAAGCTTGCGACCTTGACCTCGACGACGCGAATCAAATGGTTTATAAGCCGTGTGCCATCGAATGCTTCTTCAGGTGCAAACTCCAGGATGCGGCATTGGTCCGTGCCACAGAAGCCTTTACATGATTCAAAATAAACTTAGTATAAGCGTTGAAGCCAAAATTAAAAGCTATCGCAGTTAACTATTGGAGTTCTCCAAATATTCACAATTCGAAATACAACTTTGCAATACTTGCAGTGGTTTATAAAAACACTTGTCGCACTTTTTGATACAAAATCTGTCAGAGGATACTAAGAGCCAATGATAACTGTCAATGATAATAATAATATAACATAATGATAATAAAGTAATAATAATGGTAATAATAATATAAGTGATAAGAGCAAAAGTAAAGTTGATGGTGACAAGAATGAAAATAATAATAACAATTGTTACGATAGGAACTAGTAATCTGTACTTCTAAGCGTGACTTGATTAACGCGGGACGCACGCCTAGGGAGTCTAATATACCGGATCTTAGCCGTATGAAATAAATTGGTTGTTTTGAAACTTAAAGCTGTCTTCTCAGATCTACCAAGCAAACTAAACATTAATAGCAATGAGAATAACAGCCACATGTATCGTTGGGTGTACTTGCTCTCCGACTTTCCATTACAAGATCATTAAAAGGTGCGACAAACGTTACTACAAAGTGCGACACGTTAATTTGCTGCAAAGTGCAAGGGTCTTTCTTTTAATTAAGTGCGACAGCTGTTTCATCACAAATTTCGACAAGTGTTATTACAAAGTGCGACATTTTTGTTGAAACAAAAAAGCGACGACTATTACAAAGTCTCCCTTACTTCGTGGAGGACATTTTTTTACGTCTATAATATTTGAAAGGCAAATATCATGAAAACTGTCCTTAAAGAGTAACATTGAATGATAGAAAAATGCGTTAATAACATACTTGTAAGAATTTGAAACATATTTACCAAAGTCGACCGACGGAACACTCTCCCGCTGACTTAGTGTAAAACAACTTTTCATTTCAATAACATTCGAATACAAAAATAATGAAAAATGCATTTTAAAAGTCAAAGAAGGTATTAGAGAAATCTTCTAGTTATACAACAATGTCAATAACTATGCACTCTAAATGTATGAAGACCAAAAGAATATGAGACATATTAGAAACAGATTAAGATAATAACTCTATAACATCAAAGTAAAGGAATTAAAAAAGAGGGAAGAAAAACGCACGCTATTTAGCCGCTTAAAATGATTATCAGGTACAATTTGCTAGAGAAAACAAGCCACCCAGTTATAGATCCACCTTTAATTTTCTTGGATTAGTAGTTTAAAAAAAGTTTAAAGCCTTTTTATACCGCGGGTATAAGGATTTATGTAATGAAAACGAAAAACTTATTCCTCATTCAAAGAAATAATAAGTGTTCGCAAACTATGATTACGAAGGACCGTTCCTCTTAAATTACTAATTTACCTTGAACATACTCGGCTCAAAAAGGGGACTGGAGAAACTTACCTTGAGGCGAGACAGAGGCAGACGCCATTAGACACAAAGGCAAAAGGGAACTGATAAAAATCGAGGTTTTCATGGCGTGGATCGCATTGCGAGGTCTCCTGAGAGATGAGCAAACTGATGTGAAAATCTGTTTCAGATATTGTTTCGTTGAATTAAAAGTTTCTGATTCTCTTCTATCCAATAGGGTTTCGATTTTAATAGATTGTTTTCTTTTTATTGGCTATCTATTGTTATAGAGCCAACCAAATGTGGTTTTCGTCTTATTTTTTAACTATAACATTAATTTGGGGCAATTAGATCACTCAAATCACGTCACAAATAGTATGTTGAATTTAATTAATAATTAATAGCATCTGCCTAATAGCTGAGCTTTTTTTTTCTACAACTCTGTCTCCTTCAGATAGGATAAAAAATAATATGTTTGAAGTGATTTAACATGACCTTCCTTGGCTTGTATTAATCATCAATTCTGGATGTAAAAAAAAAAAACAAACAAACAAACAAAAGAGACAAAAATGAATTATCATAACATTTATCTCCGAACCTACAATTATAAGTAGGTTTTAAGATTTAAAATTGACTGTTATCCTTTTTAATACTTACGTTCCAATTGAAAATTTCAAGAATTTTGTAATAAATTTACGAATAAATCAACTCTGAGGTGAGCCAAAAGAAACAATCAGTGTCTTGGATCTTACCTTATCCTTCCTTTGTTCGTAAGAACTTTGATATCGCAATAGCGACGAATTGAGGTTACTTTCCACCTTCAGGAGGCCGAAAAATCGATTTTTATTTGACTTAACTGAGCTCAAACATTAAAACTAACGTTTCCATGACAAAAAATGGAATAAAATGGAGAAAAAATTCTGAAACTTTAAAAGCACCCAAGTTATTTGGAAAAACGTATTTTCAAATGAAAGTTAATAAATCAGGAAGGTGTTATAATCTTGGAACCGAGCGAATCCCCTGTTAAAGGCCTAAATAAAATAACTGTCCTAAATGTAATTATTTCATAATAATTAATTTTTTTTCGGCAACCTTTATTTAACTTACAACCCTGTCGAATGTTAACAATCTGAAAGTCCAGGGAGGGCTTGATAATGTAGCAGGGAAGAGCGCGGCTGATGAATTGAATTTGATTGTAAATAAGGGATTTATACAAATAAATTCCTGAAGCGAAGGATTTATTAGAATTTCTACAAATTAATCCCTCATTAAATATTTACTTTGAGGATCACAGCAAAGTTGATAAAGAGTGTTTGGCGGGTAAACAGTACCTCGATCCTTTTTCTTACGAACTTCTACAACCAATTTGCTC